TATGGAAGTTATTTTTTAATAAAGCAAAAAACCACTCTAGCACTTAAATAAAATTAAAATGGTAAGATAAAACTCAACTGCATTTCTATATGCCAACAACAAACAATTAAAATATGAAAGCAATAAATAATACTAAATTATTAAATCAATGAATAACAATTTTTTTTCCATGTGGCAAAAATTAAATTTTGTCCCCTACCTCACACCATACACAAAACAATCTGAGATGGATTATCGACCTAAATATAAAAACCAGAACAAGAAAACTTCTAGAAAAAAGTGGGAGCATATATTCGCAACCTGGGACAAGTCACAAAAACACTAACCATAAAAGAATAAAATGATAACTCTGACATAAAAATTAAAATATTCTGCTAATCAAAAGGCACTTGAGAAATGTTTAGGCAAATCACCGAGTGGGGGAAATATTTAGAGTGCATACACCTGACAAAGGACCCATATCTTGTGGGGCTACAGAAGAATTTATAAAGAATTACTACAAATAAACAATAACAAAGTTGAATACACCTTAAAAAAGAGGTGAGCATATACTTCACAAAAGAAGATATAAAAATTGGCAATAACCACAGAAAAAGGTACTCATCATCATTAGTCACCAGAAAAAAATGCAAATTAAAACCATAATGAGAAATCATTTCACACCCAGAAGAATGGCTAAAATAAAAAAGTTTAAAAGGCAAGAATGTGGAGAAATGAAAATTCTCACACATTGCTATTGGTGACTATAAAATGGAACAACTTTTTTGGAAAGCTGTTGGGAAGCTTTTTATAAAGTTAGCTATTCATCTACCATGTGACCCAACAATACCATTTTCATTTATCTATATGAAAACATATGTTTATAAAAAAGACTTATATATGTATATTCATAGCATATTCATGCATAATGGTAAACAACAAGAAACAATGCAAGGATCAATCAACAGGAGAATTAATGAATAAATTGTAGTATATTAATCCAATGGTAAACCACTCATCAGGAAAGAAACAACATGGATTAATTTCAAAACCATTATGTTGAGTGAAAGAAATCCAAACAGTGACACGCACACAGAAAACATATTCACTGTAGGATTACATTTATATAAAGTCCAAGAATAGCCAATCCTAATATATGATGATAAAAATCTGGACATTCTTGCCTCCGAGGCAGGAAGGAGGGCAACTAATTTGAAAGGGGCATGAGGAAACTTTCTGGGGTGATGGCAATGCTTTATATTTTGTTTTGAGTGGTGTTATACCTACGTAAATAATCAAAGTTCATTAAGCTACATACTTAAGATCTGTGTATTTGATTCTTCAATTGTGAAAAAAAGATGCTTCACCAGGGAATATTTAAAAACAAGTAACATATAACTATTCAGTAAAAAGAAGATAACTGGAATGTCAATAGACCTACCTAATATATATTTCAAAGATTTTTTTTCAAGTATTTAAGTATAAGTAAGTAGAAAAATTCAGCCTTGTGGGTTAATATACTGGAGAGAAACAAAGAGAAAAGAGTAACATATAACCATTTCAGTCACTCTGAATTTAAAAGAGACTGTTTCACAATCTAGAGGATTTTAAGACGTGAAATAACTGAAAGAAACAAAGGTGAAAAAGATCAAACACAGGATGCAGAACTAACAGCTGTGACTTAGTTAATACATATGCTGAATAAAAACAAACTCAGCAAAGCACTGGGAAGCCAGCAGATTCCAAGTGATTTACTAAGCAGAAACACATGCAATGTGTTATCAGCCCTGTCTCATATTGAAAGCAAGGACTCTTGGGTTACAATGGATGCTCTTCTTTCACAGGTAGAGTTACAAGAAAATAAACCAGATAAAGGTATACAAGAGGCAGAGGAAAAGGAACCTAAATTCGCTACATCTAAGCAGTATCTATTTTCAGTGAATGAGATGAAAGTTCTGCCTTTACCTCGCCTACTCAATATCATTCTTTCCACAATAAAAGACTGAACACATCAGCTAATGGTCAAAGAATTGTAAAATCATGAATAAGGGTCACATTTATATTTTTATTTTCAAGGTTCAACACAAGTTCTAAAAGTGAAATTATCATTTCAACCATATTATTAATTTTTAATAAATTTTTAAAAAGGTCTTGAATACCCATAAATCAATCTAACTTCACACATTTTGCATTTCCAGATAGAAAGCCAGAATTAGGCTGGGTGCAGTGGCTCACGCCTATAATCCCAGCACTTTGGGAGGCTGAGGTGGGTGGATTACGAGGTCAGGAAATTGAGCCCATCCTGACTAACACGGTGAAACCCTGTCTCTACTAAAAATACAAAAAAATTAGTCGGGCATGGTGGTGGGTGCCTGTAGTGCCAGCTATTTGAGAGGCTGAGGCAGGAATATGGTGTGAACCCGGGAGGCGGAGTTTGTAGTGAGCCGAGATCACGCCACTGCACTCCAGCCTGGGTGACAGAGCAAGACTCTGTCTCAGAAAAAAAAAAAAAGGCAGAATTAACAAATATGTTAGAATATTAAACCTGTGATTAAAATATAGGCTTTTATATAAGCTCACCAATAATTATCTTTTCTTTGGAACAGTTGCTCTCAACCATTTTCCATCCTTGACACACCTGTGATTTGTCAGAACACAGCAGGAGTCTCCTGCTCTATCCAACCATCCATCCTCCATGCACATCCTCTAGTCTCCAAATTCTTTCCTGAAACCTCATGTCCTACCTGAATACTCTCTCATAAGTATTTCCATGTGAATAGTCTACTCCTTCCTTTCTACAATGAATGAGGAGGCCCTGAAGGTCATAACTCATATGGAGAAATAAGTCATGCACCAATGTCTCCAGAGTGGAAGAAACAGTAGCCTAATTGAGGTTATATTCTTTCTGCAATTATATATAGAGAAAGAAAATACATAGATATATAGCTGTTATTGTTGTATTATATAAATACAGGCTGCATTGGTTCTAATTTAAGTACCATCATCCCGAGTTACTTTACTTTCTCACTTACTTGTTTTTCTCCTTAAAGCATTGTTATAACATTTGAGAAAGGTGGAGTCAGTTAATAAGATACGCATTTAAGTATTGACAGCACCAATGAATTGGGTCAAGATGGAATTTCTGGCTTGAATTCTACCTCTAGATTTCTTCAAAGATTACCAGGTGAACCTAAACTCAATTAAAATATGTAGAGAATGATTTATGAAATAATGCCTCAGTTATTCAGATAATGGATCTATAGAAAAGAATCTGTTTTTCATTCGTTGAATGACCAAGTGCATTTACATTAGAGAATTTACATTGGTATAAAAACAAATATATTTAGTAATGAATTTTATTAACATATATAGGACAATGTCTTACCTAAATAGCTTGAAAATGTTAGAAATGCACTAGAAACACAATAACCCCAGAAAAATCTTCATATAAGAGAACCAATGCCAACAAACATGACAGATAGCATCTAAATCTGGGTTTAGTGAGGTTTATCTTGAAGCAAATAGACCCGATCAAATTTCCTTGAAAAACAGGACTTTTTGTAATGAGATGAAGGTGTCACTATGTTACCCAGACTAGACTGGTATAGAACTCCTGGGCTCAAGGGATTCTCTGCCTTAGCTTCCCGAGTAGCTAGGAACACAAGCGTGTGCCACTGTGCCTAGTAGAAGAGGACATTTTTGAAAACATTCTTCTCCTCCACATATTGAGGCACTGTGTCAAATGTTACCTGTGCCTAAATGCCCCGGAAACTGCATATTCCATACTCCTAAAGATGTGTCAAATTATACAAACTCATGAGGATTTTTTTAACCTCTGAGCAGGACTGGAAGAGGCAAATATACTAAAGTAAAAAAAAAAAAAAAAAGAAACTCCAAATCAGTTGGACGATGTAGCCCCTTTGGAGTGCCAGTGACCTTATCTATAACACTGAAACACAAATTGCACTTGAATTGATGAAGGATATAGGAAACAATTTATATTAAAGTGTTCTATAAACTGCAATGGATATCCAAAATTTAAGTGCCATTTTATTAATGAGGATGAAGATTATAATAAAAATGATCTAAAATAACTTATGTTAAAGAAGGAAAAATATTAAACCAATCATTTTCATTTAGACCTAAATAGTCTTAAAAAACATATTTGCCCTATCATTTGGCTCAAAGGATTTATTCATACTCTATATCTAAGTAGATGATGAATGGTATTGATTGAATCCAAAGTCCCCCTGTCTTGGATTTTATGAGGCCCATTCACAATGAGCCAGGTTGAGAACACTACCAATTTCATGTTCTGGGTCCATCTGTTGGCAAAAATATAATGCAAACAGCTTTATAAGTGCTATTTTCAATGAAATATCACAGAACAGCTTGTCCCAATGATATTTCTAAAGCTTGCCTGCAAACCGCCTACTAGAAAATCCAACTGAAAGAGAAGGGAGAAAAGAGAGAAATCCATACAGGAAAGTGACAGGAATGGAAAAAAGAACAAACGATAAAGAGAGACTAGCTACCAGAGGAAAACAAAGAGCAATGTTAAACGCAGACAATATTCACTGAAACTATAAAGATAGAGAAGATAGAGAAATATAAAAATCACCGGAGTCGGAATACAGAGAAATAATCACAAACCATGCAGCATTGTCCAGAAGAATGAAGACAAAAAGATCAGGAAACACCAGAAAATATGGAACAGCTCAATAATTGGAGCATAATTATTAAAATGTTGTGAGAGAAAAATGATGTAAAATAGCTATTTTTCTAAGTCTCACTACTTCATGCAGTAGGCACAATTCATTTTTCCAAAAACTAATGCAGATTTCAGTGTTTATCACCAACTTCAAAGGAAGCGAACATCCTCTTCTAACTCCCTTCTTTTAATTTAGAAGTCCATTGACATACCACATAAAATAGTCCAGGCTTGCAATATAAGTGATGTACATGCATTGATTCAAATCAAAACACATTATAGGGAAAATAACATCATTCTGGGCACTTACCTGGGGTCGAATGACTTTTACAATATTTTTGAGGGCAGTATCAGGGGATGGAGGTGAACAATCAGGTGTTGGGCCTGTTGAGCTGTTTCTATGGTTACTAGTTCCTGGAGTAGTAATTGCTACCTCAGAGGCATTATCTGCGAATAAAAATAGAACTGCCATGAACCTAATCACTCAGTTTACCTTTTAAGACTTGAAATTAATTTTCTGAACATAAATTGAGATTTCAACTTTCAAAACTGGTATCAACTACAAGATCATAAATGAGGAATATGCTCAGTGGTATATTTTAAAGATAATATTTATTGAATGCTTTGTTTCCTTCTAAAATGGTAACTATCATCCTCTCGAATGTTGTTCTGAGACAAGAGTACTATTATTCAATTCATAATGATAGATTATCCAGCATAGCTCTTAAGACTGCTACTACTATATGAATAACTAAAACCTTACCTTAACTAAAAAGAATATAATTTTATGATATGATTGGGCTAAAGCTTTCCCAATAATCTTGTAAATGAGTATTAATAGTTATTAAAGTCAGAGTTTTATGTCTCCTTGATGCATAAAACCCAAAGTCAAGCCTCCTCAAATGACTTTTCCTAGAAATCCCACAAACTATAGAAAAGCATCCTAGCAAATGAAGCTTGATGAAAAACCGAAATTTGTGCAAAATGATTTTATGATGTAGATAAATATAAAATTATCACCCCTTGATAAGTATAGCATCCTATGTGGTCAAAGCTAAACGAATAAAATTTCAGAATCTAAATTAACCTTCTCTTACGTTCATTATTTAGGAGGGAGGGAATAAAGGAAAGATGACTTGAAAATCAACAACATGTATAACATTTTCTTCTTAAATTCATATCAAAGCAAAATAACATCAAAGATACCATTTTAGAATGTTTAAAATACTTGGGAAAGGATGAAAATTATTCTATAAATAACTTCTGGTAGCACCTAGAAAAGTTATTTTATTTTAACAACAATTTGGCAAACTTCAATAGCTTTTTATGAAAACTGCTGCAAGCTCAAATCTGCAAAAAAGAAAAAAAAAAGGTTTACTTCTCTGTTGTTTTTAATTAGTTCGCAATAATTTTCTTTCCTAGACAGTTAGCTGAACTGATTGCAAAAGAGACTGAGACTGAATTTTTTATAGACCAGGAAGTTTCTCTGTTCCTGATCGCTGTCTACAATCCCCAGTGAAGTACAGGAATTTATCAAGGCATCTTTTCCCCATAAAACACAAAGGGATGAATTATCATACAACTCTACCTACATATAAAAATATAATTCACTGAGGAATCCAGACAAAGGCCCATAAAACAAAAAATTCAAGTATGACATATAGAATTACTTGGATGACTCATAAAATAAATCTTAAAAGTGTCCAGAGCACACTCTTCTAAGATTTAATAGAAAAGGTGGGATTTGAATTGGCATCACAGAAGAGATGGGGTGGTCTTCAGTAGAAAAGTATGAGTCAATATTGAAACACACAAAACGTTAGTCAGCAAGATGCTCTGATTCTCCCCAATCTATCCCTTCCTTCTTTCATTCATCTAAAAACCACATATGTAAAAACACTTATTTGGGCCAACTATGAGTCAAACATTATGTTATATTCTAAAGATTAACTAGGAAGAATCTGTGGCCAGGGACTGAAGGGAGGTAGGGATGAATAGGCTAAGCACTGAGGATTTTCAGGGGAGTAAAACTATTCTATTTAATGGTATAATAGTGGGTATACATCATCATTATATATTTGTCCAACTCATGGAATATATAAGTCAAGAATTAACCTATATAAACTATAAACTTTGGGTGATAATGATGTGTCCATGTAGGTTCATCAATTATAACAAAGGTATCACCTTTGTGCAGAATGTTGATAGCAGAGGAAGCTTTGTGTATGGGAATATATGAACTTTGTAATTTCTGCTCAATTTTGCTGTAAATCTAAGAAGTTCTAAAAATAAAATCTCTGAATTTTTTTCAAAAGAATCCCTGCCCTTGAGAAGTATACTGTTGGGTTTTTTTCCTTTTATTTTTTGAGACAGGGTCTCACTACCATTACCCAGGCTGGACTGCAGTAGCATGAACACAGCTCACTACAGCCTCAACTTCCCAGGCTCAAATAATCGTCCCACCTCAGCCTCCTGAGTAGCTGGGACTACAGGTGCACATTACTACAACTGGCTAATTTTTTGCATTTTTAGCAGGAGTGGGGTTTCGCCATATTGCCCAGGCTGGTCTTGAACTCCTGAGCTCTAGTGATCCACCCACCTCAACCTCCTAGAGTGCTGGGATTATAGCCATGAACCACTGCAACCAGCCCAGAAGTGTACTCTTAAATGTGTCATCAGGCATGTAAACAAATTAAAATGCAATATAACTTGAGAATTTATAACAGATAAAGGAAGCATGATGAAAAAAAAACAGGGTGGGGTGGGGGAGCAATCAGACTATGGCTTGGACAGAAGATAGCTGTGAAAGGCTTCAGTTTTCAGGCAAGAAAGCTGGGACAAAACATAAGATATTAGGGCATGAAGGTAGGAAGAGCACAGCTGAAGCTGTTATTTCATATTACAAAAAAACTAAAGATAAGTTTGAATGACTTAAAGGAAGTTTTATTAGAATATAAGCATCTTTAATTCTGTAGGCAGTGAGAAATACTGAAGACTGAGCAGGGAGTGACATCATAATAGTAATAGATAATTTTTATTGAGCATTTACTATGTGCAGACAGCCATGTTAAATTCTGTTACTTATTGAATCTCATTTAATACCCAAATTAACTTACAAAATACGTTCTACTATCACCATCCCTATTTTACAGAGAAATTCATCTCAAAGATATATCGTCAGTTACTGGCAGAAAAGGATTCAAATTTCAGATTGATGCCATGTTACCCTTCGGCTGGTTAGCATGTCATAGTAGGTATGCAAAAGATATGCATAGGTATGATTGGGTTCATAGAAACACAGCCTGAATTAGACTGGCATAGTTAAGGTAAAAGCACACTCTACTTCAAAATATAGTTGAACCAACTTCCAGAAACTTAAAAAGTGGAACATAAACACTATGAAACATAAACAATAAAAACAAAAAAAAATGTCAACCATAAAAACATCTTTAGGGTATGCCTTTGAGTACTATATAGTATAATATTTAATATTTGGAAGCAGGAAGATATGTTAAGACTAGAGACTCAAGCTAGAGGTCATGATGTTAGCATTTTGGAGTTGATGATAAGTGATTAGATTCTGGACATGTGTTGAAATGTCCAGAATTGTTGAAATAGACCAAGAATTTTTTTGATGGTTCCTGAATAGACAAAGCAACCTTGAACAAAAAGAACAAAACTGAGTATATTATACTACCTGACTTCAAAATATACTACAAAGCTATAATAATCAAAACAAATTGATGCTGGCATAGAAACAGACATATCAGCCAATGGAAAAGAACAGAAATCCCAGAAATAAATACACATATTTCTGGTTAATTTATTTCAAAGGTGCCAACAACACACAATGGGGAAAGAGCAGCCTCTTCAATAAATGGCATTGGGACACTGGACATTCACATGCAGAAGAATAAAATTAGACCTTCATCTCACACTACATACAAAAACTAACTCAAAATGGATTAAAGCTGGGTGCAATGGTACATGCCTGTACTTCCAGCTACTTGAGAAACTGAGGCAGGAAGTTTGCTTGAGCCCAGGAGTTTAATTAAGGCCAGCCTGGGAAACATAGGGAGACCCCTCTCTTAAAAATTTTTTTCTTAATTAATTAAAGACTTAAGTGTAAAATTGAAGTGGCAAACCTATTAGAAGAAAACACAGAGAAAAACCTCCACAACATTGGTTTGGGCAATGATTTTTGGCTATGACCTCAAAAGCACAGGCAAGAGCAAAAATAGACAAATGGGATTATGTCAAACTAAAAAGCTCTGCACAGTGAAGGAATCAATGAACAGAGTGAAGAAACAACTTATGAAATAGGAGAAAATATTTGTAAACCATACCTCTGATAATGAGTTAACATCCAAAATATATGGAACCCAAACAACTCATAGTGAGAAAACAATAACCTGATTTTAAAATGGGCAAAGGATCTGAATAGACATTTCTCAAAAGAGGACATACAAATGGCCAACAGGTATATGAAAAAATACCTAACAACACTAATCATCAGAGAAATGCAAATCAGAATTACAATGAGATATCATCTCATCCTAGTGAAAATGGCTTTTATAAAAAAAAGACAGGCAATAACAGATGCTGGCAAGGGTGTGGAGAAAGGGGAACCTTTGTACACTGTTAATGGGCAGATAAATTAGTAGAGCCATTAGAGACAATAGTATGGAGTTCCTCAAAAACGAAATATGGAATTACTACATAATCCAGCAATCCCACTGCTGGGTATATATCCAAAGGAAGTGAATCATTATGTAGAAGAGATATCTCCACTCCCATGTTATTGAAGCATTATTCAGTAGCCAAGACAAGGAATTAACTTGTGTCCATTAACAGATAAATGGATAAATGGAAAGAAAATGTAATATATACATACAGTGGAATACTATGCTGCCTTAAAAAGAAGGAAATTCTGTTATCAGTATAGATGAACCTGGAGGACCTTGTAAGTGAAATAAGCTAGGCACAGAAAGACAAATGCCACATGATCTCACTTATATATGAAATATAAACAAAGTCAAACTCATACAAGCAGAGAATAGAATGGTGGTTACCAGGGACTGGGGAGATGTTGGTCAAAGGACACGAAATATCAATTAGAAGGAATAAGTTCAAGAGGTTTATCATACAATATGGTGACTATAGTTAATAACAATGTACTGTATTCTTTGAAAGAGTAGATCTTAAGTGTTCTCACCAGAAAAAAAAAATGCTAAGTATGTGAGGTAATGCATATGCTAATCAGTTCAATTTAGCTATTCCACAATGTATACACATTTTAAAACATCTTGTACACAGTAAGTACATATAATTTTTATTTGTCTATTTAAAAATAATTAAATTTTTAAAAATTATTGATTGATGTGCTGGATATAGAGAGAGAAAGAGAGAAATCAAGAATGACTCTAAGGCTTCTGGTCTGAGGAACT